TTTATCATTAATCTACATTTAATATTTCTAATTATGTGACAGTGACTAAAAATTAGTCCCCCTATCCAAACAACCCCTAAGACCGGGAGGGGGTGGAGGTAGAAACCGAAAGTCCTACCACGCGAGTGATCGCCCGGGGCGATCAGGACGTGATTCCCCCCTCCTCTACGTGGTTTCCTTTTTTGGCACCGCATTACTTTACTATTTTAGTAAATTTATGCATCTAAAGTTTGTACATCTCAAGTTTACACATATAAAGTTTATTCACCTAAAGTTTAGAGACCCAAAGTTTATAAGTCAAAAGTTTATATATCCGATTCAAATTTGAATTTGAATTTAAATATTTTTTATATATAGTATTTCTATACATATAAAGTTTATATACCTAAAGTTTATATAGACCCAAAGTTTATAAGTCAAAAGTTTACATACCTGATCCAAATTTGAATTTGAATTCAAATATACCCGTTTTAAATTTGAAGTTGAATTCAAATATTTTTCATATATAGTATTTTCTATACATAAATTTTTACAACTTTGTTTTTTTATTTATTTTTAAATTTATGGTGTAGTAGGAAGAGAAGAAGGGGAAGAGGAAGAGAGAGACTAGCATATAGGGGGGTTGGGGGGTGATCGCCCGGAGCGGTCACCCGCCCATTAGCACACCCCCGGTAGAAACGACAATGAGGACTTTGATAATTAGGTGATACTCGTGATACCGGTTTCTTTACTCTACGGCTAAATCACTAGGTTTAGTCTTAACTAGTTGTACATGATAATGCGTGATGTTTCATTTTCTTTTTAAAGGTATTATCTGAGTCAAAGTTTGTCTGCGGAAAAATCTTATGGTCTTGTCTTTATTGATTTGGACCATGCATGACAACAAGTATAATATGTACGCGCATCATTCTATTTTCAGAGGTGTCACTTGGGAAAAACATTATTCATAGTCTAGGTCTAGACTCAGTTTAAAATAGATTATTAAGCATATTGTTGTTGTGAATTATCTATAAGAATAAATTAGATATTTTGATAAATAAACTTAACAAATAAGTTCAAACAAATGATCTAAGCAACACGGTAGTTTTTTTAGAAAATATATTTCAAGTCAAATTTAAAAATTCAACTGTAAAATTAAAACATTCAAAAGTTCTAATTAAAAATTTAAAACTTACTGCAAAATTAAAACTTTCAACCTAAATTTTAAAACTCTCAACTTAAAATATGAAATTTAATTTCTACCCAAAATTTGAAACTAATTTTAACTCAAAATTTGAAAACTTGAACTCAAATTTTCAAAAGTTTCAATTCTATCGAAACTTACAACTCATTATAAAACCTATAACTCATCTTTTAGTTTTTATTTTAGAGAAAAACTAGTGGACGGAATCCCGTGGGGACGGGATACTTGTAACGAATAATCCCAAACCCCAAATCCGTTTCTTCTCCACCAGATCCGTTTCTCCTCCTCCTTTCTCTCCGATTCTTTCTCTCCATCTTCCACCTCCCTCCCTACTCCTCGTCGGGGTCGGGGTAGGGCCCCGGCGGCTCCGCCTCCTACTCCGCATGGCCCCGCCACTGCACGCACCGCCTCTACTCCTTCTCCTCACCGGTGTCGCCGCCAATGGCCCCCGGTCATGAGGGTCTCTCCCGGCGAAGGTGGGGGAGGCAGAGGTGGTTGTGGTAGTCTCGTGGGTGCCCTGGAGAAGCGTCTGATTATGGGGGTGGTGGCGGAGGAGGAGGAGGAGAAGGGAGCGACAACGACATTGGAGACGAGGTGGCCACCATGGAAGTAAGTCATTCTTGACTGGTATCAGGAGGTATCACGGCTGATACCAAGTATCATGCCTGGTGCCTTAGGAAAACATGGCTGATACCCACAAGTATCAGCCCTGGTACCCAGGTACCAAGGTCTGATACCTAGGTACCAGCTGGTACCCAAGGTATCAGGTACCAGCCAGAACACTCATAGGTACTCCCTCCGTCCCAAAATAAGTGTAGTTTTATACTATTCACGTTCAACGTTTGACCGTTCGTCTTATTTGAAAATTTTTTATGATTAGTATTTTTATTGCTATTAGATGATAAAACATGAATAGTACTTTATGTCTGATTAATTATTTTTAAATTTTTCACAAATTTTTTAAATAAGACAGATGGTCAAACGTTGGGTACGGATATCCACGGCTGCACTTCATTTTGGGACGGAGGTAGTACCAGGTGTAAGGAGGGAGATATCATGGCTGATACCCACAAGTATCAGGCCTGGTACCCAGGTACCAAGGTCTGATACCTAGATACCAACCTGTATTCAAGGTACCAGGTACCAGCCAGAACACCCATAGGTACCAGGTGTGAGGAGGGAGCGCATGCCATCGTCGTCGTGCCCGGCCAATGAACCTCTTGCTGCCATTTGCTATCCTCTCATTCCTTCTCCTCCTCGACGTGCTTTCTCCCTTTCCTTATGTTGATCTGCCTAGCAAGACAAGGAGAAAAGACGTGGAAGCTCAGCTATACAGGAGAAAGAAAGGAGAGGAGTCATTTTAAGTATCCCGTTCTAACAGGATCCCGTCCTCTAGTCTCTCTCTTTATTTTATTATGAAAGTTATTAATAATGTCCCTAACTCGATCAGCATTTATCATCGTAAGTTAACGTGCTTAGCATTAATTTTGGCGAACCCCATGCCGAATCGTCAGGGGATGCGAAGGACGCATACATATGACCTTAATTACCTCCTCGCGCGTGCTCCCTCCGTCCAAAAAAAAAGATAAATCCTGGGTTTCCGTATCTAACGTTTGACCGTCCGTCTTATTTGAAAAAAATATGAAAAAAATTAAAAAGATAAGTCACGCATAAAATATTAATCATGTTTTATCATCTAACAACAATGAAAATACTAATTATAAAAAAAATTCATATAAAACGGACAATGAAACGTTGGACACTAAAACACAGGATTTGTCTTTTTTTGGATGGAGGGAGTATTAGCTAGGAAGCTCCCCTTCGTTCCACACAAACTCCACTGCACAACTCTTAATTCTGTTAATGATTCCACTATGGGTTCACGCACAGGTAGCTCGATCTTTGACTCATTTCACTCACACTACATCTCCTAGGGAACAAGGCATCCGGATCCCATCCCATTCTAGGACAGTGCATGATATTGGTACAGCTACAAACCTAGCGCCAAGACTCTGAAGATATATTACAACGTCGTACTATATATGTGTATCAAAATGTAGCATTATAGTATAGAATAGAACATAACCTAGTGTTATATATAAATCTGAATAGACTTCTATACAGACAAAATATAATAGCTCTACTAGAGAAGATATTTTTGCCAATGTTGGGTATTTTTTTCGTAGGTGGATATGGTTATCGGAGCGAAATGGCCGTCTAAAAAAATGTAAACTGGGTTGAAACTGGCCGCGAATCCTTAAGCGGTCCATCTACAAAAATACCCTTTATTTTTGCAGGCGGACCTATTATGTGGTCCGCCTGCGAAAGTTAGTGTGGGATATAAATAGACTTGACATGAGGGGATTTTTTTTCTAAGTCCTTAGTTCTCTCCTCCTCTCCGGCTCTCCCTCACCTCTCCTCTTCCTCAACTCTCTCTCCCTGATCAACTCCCTCAGCGACTGGCGGCGGGGGGAACCGGCGACAGCGAGGCGAGCTGAGGCACGGGGTCAGCAGCGAGGGGAACCGACGACGGCGAGGCAAGGTGCGGGGTCGCGGCGGCAACGGCGAAGTGCCGGCCGGGATGGTGATGGCGACGACCAGTCAGCGCAGCTCCCCTCCCCTCCCTCTCAGATCCGGCTAGAGGGGGGAGGGGGGAGGAGAGGTGGCGGCGGTGGCGGTTCTCCTCCCTCCAGATCCGGTCGGAGGGATGCCGAGGGAGGGCGGTGGCGACGGCGGCGGTTCTCCTCCATCCTAGATCCGGCCAGAGAGAGCCCGAGGGAGGGCGGCGGCGGTGCCCCTATAGTTCCCCACTTCTCCTCACCTCCTGTCGGTGGCGGTGCCCCCCAACCCTAACCCTAGATCGGTCGGAGGTGGGTAGGGGCGCGGTGGGGGTGGCAGCGATTTTTTTTTTGTTTATGGAGATGATTTTTACAGGCGGGTGACTGGGCCGCCAGGCGATTGCTTTCAGGCGGACTACTCCCCCGCCGGTAAAAATAGTTTTTGGCCGCCTGAAAATACTATTTTTGTAAGAGTGTAGTTTAGTATAGAATTGAACATAACCGAGTATTATAAATCTGAATATGGCTTCTATACTACTACATGTCTACATCTGTCTAAAAAGACTGCAGTTTTGCACTGTACATGTCCAACATTTAACCGTCCATCTTATTTGAAAAAAAATTATAATTAGTATTTTTATTGTTATTAGATGATAAAACATGAATAGTAATTTATGTTTGACTATTTTTTTAAAAATTTTTTATGAACTTTTTAAATAAGACGGACAGTAAAACGTAAATAAACAACTACATTTAAAATGACGGAGGTAGTAGTTTGGTATTATGGGATGGATAAAATAACCACCGTGTTAGCGAGAATTGAATCTTGGTCCCAGCAATGATGACAACCCGACAGTCTATTAGTTAGGAGCGTATCACGTACTTTACGAACCTCTCTTCTTTCTTCATCTTTTCAATTAAAGCTTTACAACCTAATATAACACACAGCAGATATATATGTCCGAGATAATTATTCCAATGTGATATACATGCACACGTGTGAGTCGTCGCACGAGATGGAAATTTCACAATCACGAGCTAGACTAACTGCACCAAAGCTCCCCCTACGCCCGTACGTAGCCGTTGCCCGGACGGGATCTGTAATTATATGCAATGCTATCAGACGACGACGGGATCTAGATTTTCTAGAGACTGGTACGCATGCCATCAGACGACAGGATCTAGCAATCGACAAGTCCCGGCCTGCAGGTTGTTCGCAATATATATATATATAGAGCAGCGCAGCGGCAGTCCGAGCTACTACGCCGAGACAGTGTGGTGGTGAGCCGGTGATCGATCTTGCATCTTGCGAGCACACGGGATTCCAGATCGATCGAGCTATAGCTAGCTAGCTAATTAGTTACCACGTACGAACGAGTACTTTACAACTCGATCAGTTCATCAAATTAACTCGATCAGTGGTTAAGTTTCGCACGACACACGCGCGCGGATCGGAAGCCATCATGCAGATGCAGGTGCTCACCGCTGCTTCTTCGCTCCCTCGCGCGACCTTGCTCCGGCCGGCGGCTGCCGAGCCATGGCGCCAATCTTTCCTGCAGCTGCAGGCTCGTCCAATCCAGCGACCAGGTAATAATTAATACTCCCTCCGTATTTTAATGTATGACGCCGTTGTCTTTTTGACCAACGTTTGACAATTCGTTTTATTCAAAATTTCCATATAAATATGAAAGTATTTATATCATGCTTAAAGAACATTTAATGATGAATCGAGTCATAATAAAATAAAATAAATGATAATTGTATAAATTTTTAAATAAGACGAATGGTCAAACGTTGAATAAAAAGTTAACAACGTTATACATTAAAAAAATATGGAGGTAGTAAGTATCAACTATTCATCATGCTGCGCGTGCATTCGATCATATCCTGATCGATCGATGACCTCAACGAACGGGGCGTGCATACATGCATGCTTACCTGTGAACTGTTCTACTGCACACGTTCATCGCACGATTCATAAATCTATCGATGGAGGTCCTGTTTCGGGTGTTTCTGATAACTACAGCTCCTTCCAGAATCTCAGCTAGCTCTCTTGAATAATTTATTTTTACAGTAGATTCTAAGAATTTGTAGCTATAAAGTAAAATCTAAAATTGTAAACCATATATCAGAAGCTGAAAAATCCGGTCCTTTTAAATTATTTTCGGTTGGCTACTGGTCAGCTACCTCTCAGAAGGCAAAACATAGTCTAATATCCATGCCTAATTATCTTTCAGGTATCATGCTACACTGCAAGGCCCAGCTACAGGGGCAGGAAACGCGCGAGCGTCGTCAGCTCGACGACGATGAACACGCTAGACCACCACAGGGCGGCGACGACGACGTCGCAGCAAGCACCAGCGAGCTACCCTACATGATCGAGTCCATCAAATCCAAGCTGAGGGCGGCCAGGAACAGCCTCGGCGAGACCACCGTCTCCGCCTACGACACGGCGTGGATCGCGCTCGTCAACCGCCTCGACGGCGGCGGCGAGAGGAGCCCCCAGTTCCCGGAGGCCATCGACTGGATCGCCCGGAACCAGCTGCCCGACGGCTCGTGGGGCGACGCCGGCATGTTCATCGTCCAGGACCGGCTCATCAACACGCTGGGCTGCGTCGTGGCGCTCGCGACGTGGGGCGTCCACGAGGAGCAGCGCGCGAGGGGCCTCGCCTACATCCAGGACAACCTCTGGAGGCTCGGCGAGGACGACGAGGAGTGGATGATGGTCGGGTTCGAGATCACCTTCCCCGTTCTCCTCGAGAAGGCCAAGAACCTGGGCCTGGACATCAACTATGATGACCCTGCCTTGCAGGACATATATGCCAAGAGACAATTAAAGCTCGCAAAGTACGTGTTACATACTTCCTCTGGCTTTTAATAAATGATTTTATTATCTTATATATACACACACATATATATTTGATCACTCGTCTTAATAAAAAGTTTACGTAATTATTATTTATTTTTATTGTGACTTTATGGTTCCATAAAGATCCTTCAAACATTACTTACATGTCAAAAAGAGAAAAAAAAGCATTACTTACATTTCCTCTATATATATTTACCTAAAATTCTTAAATAAGATGAATAGTTAAATGAAAGTTTCTTAAATATACTAACGAAATTGAAAAGGGAAAATTTACAATTCTTAAGAGGTATCAAGAGATATTAAAAAATTTAATGTAAATTTGGTATCTTCTAATACTGGAGATACTAATTAAGAGCTACAAAATATTTTACACTAGAAAATATAGTACTATCTCCCTTAGTATCACTTTCTCAAAAAATGAAAATATTTAATGATCTATATGTCTGGAACCATTAGTTAACCAGCTGTGACACTTCGAAATTAATTGCAGGATTCCTAGAGAAGCACTGCATGCTAGGCCGACCACCTTGCTCCATAGCTTAGAGGGAATGGAAAACTTGGACTGGGAAAGGTTGCTACAGTTCAAGTGTCCAGCTGGCTCCTTACATTCCTCACCTGCTGCGTCAGCTTACGCTCTCAGCGAAACAGGTGACAAGGAGTTGCTCGAATACCTGGAAACAGCCATCAACAATTTTGACGGTGGAGGTATAAAAATCATGACTAGTACTAAATTTTCAGCTAGTCAACCAAAACCAGGAAGTGACGAGAAAAACAGATTTTATTAGGGTGGAATTTTACCGTTCAGGTTTATTTTATTCTTCAATTTAATTTGTTGAGAAATTTTACGGTTTTTGAGAGATACCAAGAGGTACCAAAACTTTTAAACTACATTTTTGTATGTTTTAGTAGTGGATGTACCGAGAGCTAGCTAGATACTCCTAAATTTCACAATTGAAAATGTTCCTCTTTAAAACCGTAAAATCACTGTAATTTGTTTCATTTCAGCACCATGCACCTACCCTGTCGACAACTTTGACCGCTTATGGTCGGTCGATCGGTTGAGGCGGCTAGGAATATCGAGGTACTTCACGAGTGAGATTGAAGAATACTTGGAGTACGCCTACAGGTAATTAATTTACAAACAGCTCGTTCAGAAACGAAGTGTTGCATGTATGCACATTAATTTTTAGGCCTTGTTTAGTTCCTATTTTTTTTCCCAAAAACATCACATCGAATCTTTGAATATATGTATGAAGCATTAAATATAGATAAAGTGAAAAACTAACTGCACAGTTTGGAAATCGCGAGACGAATCTTTTGTGCCTAATTAGTCTATGATTAGCCATAAGTGCTACATGCAACCCACATACGCTAATAATGGATTAATTAGGCTTAATAAATTCGTCTCGTGGTGTTTTCAGGTGAGTTATGAAATTAGTTTTTTCATTCGTGTCTGAAAACTCCTTCCGATATCCAATCAAATCTCCGATGTGACACCTAAAAATTATCTTTTCACGAACTAAACCAGACCTTACCGGGTTTGAGACGAAGTGTGACTAACTACATATACGCGTGCACATTTGAAACTAAAAGGCACCTGAGTCCAGATGGCATGAGCTACGGCGGGCTCTGTCCGGTCAAGGACATCGACGACACGGCCATGGCTTTCCGTCTCCTCCGTCTGCATGGCTACAATGTCTCATCATGTAAAAAAACAAAAACTCACATTTTCTTCCAAAAGCCAATGCATGCTGCTTTGATGAGTACTTAATTACTCTGTGGATGTCTGTGTTTTTCTCAATATTTGTAGCGGTGTTCAATCACTTCGAGAAGGACGGGGAGTACTTCTGCTTCGCGGGGCAGTCGAGCCAGTCGCTGACGGCGATGTACAACTCCTACCGCGCCTCGCAGATCGTCTTCCCCGGCGACGACGACGGCCTGGAGCAGCTCAGGGCCTACTGCCGCGCCTTCCTCGAGGAGCGGCGAGCCACCGGCAACCTCATGGACAAGTGGGTCATCGCCAATGGCTTGCCCAGCGAGGTACGTACTGTTGCAAAATTGATAAATATATGGTTAATTGTATTTAATTTGTTACTACTAAATATTAGTAATGCATAGGGAAATTTGGCACAGCATATTTGTTCCATCCTACTGAAATTTGACAATTCTACCAAATCTACCGAAAATTTGGTATTGCTAAATTTTTTTGAACAGAAATATTGTCAAATTTTGGTGAACATGCCCATATATAGCAATCTATTTTCGTAGTAGTAATCACAAAGCTCGATCTAGTACAGTTAAGTTGACAATAATCTATTATTATTACTTCGATTGCTGAAATGAAAATGGGGGCATATATAGGTCGAGTACGCGCTGGATTTCCCATGGAAGGCAAGCTTGCCGCGAGTCGAGACGAGGGTGTATCTGGAGCAGTACGGCGCTAGCGAGGACGCGTGGATCGGCAAGGGACTCTACAGGTGACGAGCTCTTCGATCTAATTAACCTAGGACTACACGCAAAATTAAAAAAAAAATTAGTACCTGAAGGCTAAAGCCGCATCACGTACGTTTTTGTCATCTTTGTTGTGTTTTTCTTCGCATACTTTCAGGATGACCCTAGTCAACAACGACCTGTACCTTGAGGCGGCAAAGGCTGACTTCACCAACTTCCAGAGGCTCTCCCGGCTCGAGTGGCTCAGCCTGAAAAGGTCACCACACGTTCCTCTTAACTATCAATATCACAACAACTTAATTTATTCCCTAATCAACTAACAGTCTGATACGACGAACCTACGATGTTTTTATGTATAACGCGGTTGACAAAATAGTAGTAGTAATTAATTAATATATTATGTGTCACTTCACAAACATATAAACTTACATTCAACATATACAATTAGTAACAAAATTGACAAATTAGACAACGAATTGTGTGCTCTACTAAAGTCAATTTCATCTTTCTTTTATTTTCCTATTTATGTAATTTGAAATTACTACATCTGTCTTAAAATGTTGTAATCTATAATGGGATTTGACTCACAATTTTACTACATATATAGGATGAGATTTGATCCATCCAAATCTCATCCTAGATTGTAACATTTTGAGATGGAGGAAGTACATCTATGTGCATGTATGTGCAGTGATAAATATTCGTTTTGCTAAAACTTTTAAATTTTTATTATATCTTTTTTGGATGACATGAAAAACAAGGAGATGTTCACTCGAGAGAGGGACGAATAGACTTTCCGTCTGATATGATATTACTCTACTGTGTAACTAAAGATGTTTCTTACTCACAAGCGTGCGTATGCATCATGCTGCGCAGGTGGTACATCAGGAACAATCTGCAAGCGCACGGCGTGACCGAACAGAGCGTGCTGAGAGCCTACTTCTTAGCCGCGGCGAACATCTTCGAGCCCAACCGGGCGGCGGAACGCCTGGGATGGGCTCGCACGGCGATCCTCGCCGAGGCCATCGCGTCACACCTCCGACAGTACAGTGCCAACGGCGCCGCCGACGGCATGACAGAGAGGCTCATCAGTGGACTCGCCAGCCACGACTGGGACTGGAGGTTTACTCTTCGGCCGCTCATATATACTTTTTTAATTTCTTCAATGGATTTCTTCCTTCAAAAAGAAAAGAACATAATTAATTATTCTTATAATCAAATTACATTGTTGGAGCAAGTTTAATAATAATAATAATAGCCAACTATTAGCTGCAAAAATTAAAACATCATTTATAACCAACCTAATAGTCCACTTATAAAATATTTAGTTATAGATATATATATTGCATCATTAATATCTAATCCACTCATCTTTCACACATAGTTTTTATTTGAACCTGTGTTGCAGCTAGCTATAAATTAATTAATTTGTAGCTTATTTTTCTTCTCTCTTCTTTTCCCTCCTCAACATAAGAACAAATGTGAGGTGGTAGCTTGTACAACCCGATTATATCATCTTATTGTGCTCGCCTATACAGTGATTCATGTAAGATTTTCGTTTGCGTGTGTGCAGGGAATCAAAGGATTCAGCAGCGAGGAGCTTACTGTACGCACTTGATGAGCTCATCGACCTCCATGCGTTCGGCAATGCTTCTGACAGCCTACGTGAAGCGGTAAAATTAACTTTAAACTGATGACATGGTGTGTTAATTAATTTACCCTGAAAATTTTAACACAGTTCAATGTGTTCTGTTAACTGCAGTGGAAGCAGTGGCTCATGTCATGGACAAACGAGAGCCAAGGATCAACTGGTGGGGATACCGCATTGCTGCTAGTTCGCACAATCGAGATCTGCTCAGGACGGCACGGTTCAGCCGAGCAGAGCCTGAAGAACAGTGCAGACTACGCCAGGCTTGAGCAGATCGCCTCTTCCATGTGCAGCAAACTTGCCACCAAAATTCTTGCTCAGGTACGTGCATTGATCACTCATCATCACGAATTACAAAAATTAATTAAAATGCTGCTTGAGGTTTTTTTTTTAAAAAACATGAATTATGATCAAACAGAATGGAGGAAGCATGGACAACGTTGAGGGTATAGACCAGGAAGTGGATGTTGAGATGAAAGAGCTGATCCAGCGTGTCTACGGGAGCAGCAGCAACGATGTCAGCAGCGTGACGAGGCAGACATTTCTCGACGTGGTGAAGAGCTTTTGCTACGTCGCTCATTGCTCGCCCGAAACAATCGATGGGCACATCTCCAAGGTTTTGTTCGAGGATGTCAATTAGGAAAATGGTTGACTACTAGAAAGGCAATAAAAACAAGAGTTGTGTCTACCAGCATGGCTCGTAAAGTGATGACTGCGAAAATTTTCTCAAAGTGAGATGAATTTAGTCGATATTTGTTTCACTTGATGGTACACCAGATACACATGTTGTTATAAGTTGTCTGATAGCTAGTATACTATATATATATATATATATATATATATATATATATATATATATATATATATATATATATATGAATATGTTCTGAAGTGAGACGTCAGCTATATGAATTGTCTTATTTCAGAACAAAACTTTGCACATCGATATGCCATTAAAAATAAATATGTAAATATGTGAACCTTTTTTTCTTTGTGCTCTTTCTTTTGTTTCCCATCTCAATGACTACGAGTTCTAGATCTTCTTTGCAAATAGAAGAACTTTGCAAACATACTACCGTGTCGCTCTCGTAGGCATCCTTCATAGCTCAAGTGGTAACTACTTTCCATGAAGAGAGGGCCATGGAATACACTATTGTAGTAGCTGAAATGGCGGATTCCCTTGCTATATTATAATACCTCGCTCCTTATACGGGGGCAGCCCTGGCTGAGTATTTTATTTACCGTGAACGACGTACTTTAATAATTTATGACGATCTCTCCAAACAGGCACAAGCTTATCGCCAAATGTCCCTTATATTAGGAAGACCGCCCCCCCCCCCCCCCCCCCCCGTGAAGCTTACCTAGGGGATGTTTTTTATTTGCACTCACGCCTTTTAGAAAGAGCCGCTAAATTAAATTCTCTTTTAGGGAAATGAAGTATGACTGCTTTACCAACAGTTACGACTCAATCTGGAGATGTTTCCGTCTATATTCCTACTAATGTAATCTCCATTACAGATGGACAAATATTCTTATCCGCAGATCTATTCAATGCCGGAATTCGGCCTGCTATTAATATGGGTATTTCCGTTTCTAGAGTAGGATCCGCGGCTCAAATTAAAGCCATGAAACAAGTAGCTGGCTAATCAAAATTAAAATTAGATCAATTTGCAGAGTTACAAGCCTTTGCACAATTCACCTCTACTCTCGATAGCCCAACCTCTCCTAGCCCCACACCGCTGGCTACCTTGTCGCAGGGGGCGGCACCACCAGTAGCGCCTTCTTCCACCCTTTATCTCCCTTAGCCATCTCCTTCCTCTTTCCTTCCTAACCTTCTATTTCTTTTTTTTTTCCAGATCCAGAAGATTCATCCTTGTCCCAGATCCGGTCAGGGTGCTTGGAGCCTAAGGTCTGGCTGGTGGTGAGTAGGACGACCGGTTCGCGTGCTGAGGTGGTGGTCGCGTTGGGGCTTGGCGCATGCGTCCATGGGTGCTGAAAGGCTGGAGTCTGCCATGAGTGGCGAGGTCAATGATGGCCATGGCACGGGGGCTAGTCCTTCGTCCCCTTCCTCTATCTTGAGTTCTTGACCCCTTAATATGAGTACCTCTAGAAAAAGCATATACACACAACTTATCTCTATAAGCATGTTCAACATATTTTAAGACTAAGAAAGTCACCACTAACACTTGGACTAGAAGAACAATTTACTGTAAATGCGACCATCCGTGTTAAGTCTGGACTTAAATCCAGGTGAGCTGGTTCCACTAAAAAAACCTAATCAGTTCGGCCACGTTCATTTCGCCACAAAGAAGAGGTGCAGTTTTACTAATTAAACTGCGTAGGGTAGAAATTCTTCTTTTTTTCCTCCATAAAATTTTCAACAAGACCAATTAAATTGCTTCTAATAGTTCAAAGGTAAATTTTAATGGAATGAGGGAATACACTGCCACTAATACCTCCTAGGATTGCTTTTTTTTTTCTTCTCAGTTTTTAAGTTGTTTTTTACTAAGTAGAAATTGACGCATGATTGTTATTTCCCAAAAAACTCCTCGTATTTAGACAGAATATCCCATAGATCCTTTGAACCAACTAATGTCCCGTTGTGTTTTATCTGGAAAACCCCTTGTATTTTAAACATACAATACAAAGAAGAGAAAATTTGGCTTCTAGCAGTGGCGCTGTAAACATGAAAAACATAAGGGTGTTTCCGAAAAACAAACATATTTATCTCCAAACCCTATCCCCGGCCATCTCCCACCTCCTCCACCCCGCGCCCCACTCAAGCTCTGCGCTCAACACCGACGCCGACACGGGGCTGCCTCCGACATTGTCCACAAATTTTATGGTTTTATAACATTGTTCACAAAATTTACATATCTCTAATATGGTTTTATAACCTATAAGTGAGATATGTAAATTTTATGAATAATATTAGTATCACTTTGTCGGATAAAGAAATGACCAAAATAAAAGTTATAGATATTAATGAGTTATACAACTTTGTTGTTGATGTCCTTTTCAGTTGAAATTATTTATTATTTGAAAATATTGTTTGAAGTTATCATAATTTGAAATTCAAATTCAAATTATTGAAACAGAGTCATATAGCAAAATGATCAAAATAAAAGTTGTAGATCTTGATAAGTTATACAACTTCGTTGTTGACAGTTTTTTCATTTAAAATCATTTACTACCTGAAAAATTAATTGAATTTAGAGGAGGGAGGCAAAATGGACTTCTCGGCGAGGGATGAGCAAAAGGGTTGGACCGACGGCCCGAAGAGGGAGGAGGGGAAGGGGAAGCCGGCCCAAGGAGGGAGAGAGAGGCTGTGGGCTGAGGGAGGGAGAGAGTAACACTTAAGCCGAAAAAGGTGCAAGGACAGAAAGAGCGATTTTAATTTGTTTTCCATTTATTTTAATAGGTTAAATAAACTTTGTGGTATTAAAATTAGTTATTGAGCTCTGAAAAGTCATGAAAAATTTTAGAGAATAATTTAGATCATGTAGAATATTACAAAAATATTTATGGCCATGATTTTCAAAGGAAAATTTTAGTTTCCTCGTTAATTCACTTGATTAAATTGCTTTAACTTTTATTATATTTTTTTAGAAATGCATTATATAAATCTGTGACGCTTGCTTTTTGCCCCTTATGACAAAGTAATATTCGTCATAATGTCCCATTGAAATACTTTATGACGATTTCTAGTTGGTATTAACGACGAACACCTTTTTTCGTCACTAAGCCACCGCATCTCATATTAATTGTCATAAAATGGAATGCACTAATGATGAATAGCTCCGATGTCACGAGGAATTCATCACAGAAGGTCATATTTCTTGTAGTGACCCTCCCCCCATTGTCGTCGTGCGCCCTCCTACTACTACAAAAATGGCTATAGGTGCCGATTGGGAAACCCCATGGATGCCGGTTTCCCAACCGGCACCTATTAGTCGGTACCTTTGAGGACTTTATTCTAACAAGATCCCCTATCTGGCGGAGGGGAGGGCGCCACCGCCGCTGCAGTTGCCGAGGTCCGCCACCTCCCCTCCGGCCGGATCTGGCGGAGGGCAGGGTGGCACCACCGCCTGGAGCCACTGCCGCCTCCACCGGACTGCAGCCCGGCCGCTACCACCTCCGCCGCTGAGGCAAGCGAGAGAGAGAGAGAAGATAAGGATGGGAGGCGTGCGTTATATGGATAAGGCCGGTGCTCGATTGGCTTGCCGGCTCGGCTCGGTTTGGCTTGGTATATATAGGTGTCCGTTTTTTTAAAAACCGACACCTGTAGTATAGGTGTCCGACACCTATAAATTAATTATTTATGTTCATCCACGTGTTTCATGTACATATATGATTAATCTTTCAGCGGCACTATAATTTTGGCTGATTAGAACTAATCAGATGAGACGGATTTGCTTATTTAAAGGGGTCGCATAAACTCTTAGGTAGATAGCCACGAATAGTCTAATCCCCAAACCGAAGAACCATAACACTATAAAACCATCAAATCCCATGGGAATCTATCAAATTAGACGAGTCCTAACGGTTTTATAACCCGTCAAAATAGACACGATTTTATGGATTTGGGATTCCAATGGTGTTAACATGATTTGGATTTAGTATTTTCCGTTGCAATGCATGAGGCACTTTTTCTAGTGTTCAATAAAATCGGCACATCTAATACCGTTTGGTTAAATAAAAAGCAACACACGTGTACAAACCAAACAAGCCCAATGTTTATTGCTTTCTCCAAAGATCACGAGAAGATATGCTTCTCGAGTCTCGAATCTTTGTTAAGCTCTTGTAAGTCCTTTCTTGCAGGGAGAAAATAGTGGCATCATCAGCGAACATCCGTGTCATTGTTCCGTCCGTGGCTGCGCGTGGCTGACTAGCCTCTGTAACATTAATCGACGGGCTATCTTGCGTGTGGAAACTGCTTGCAGTGACGAGAGTCGTCTGACGAGTAGGCTTCAGCTGCCAGGACGGGTTTTGTACATTGTGGTATGATAGAGAGTTGTAAATTACGGCCATGTGGTGAAAATAACAACCTATTATTACATGCTATTGGTTAAACGACAACGAATTACAATTTTTCCAAACTATGATTAGAAACAAGGAAACTATTTAGAATACTAGCCTAAAGATAGAGATAACACATATTTTAAAACTTATATCTCTAGTTAACGAGGAACCGCATATTGTTGTTTATCCAGCGACTTACAAAGTGTCCTTATCTTTCTCAAATCAGATAATGGAATATCATGAGAACAATGTCTTATTATTGTGTGGAGCGAATTTCACACTTCATCATGCAGTTGACATTGAACCAAAGCGAAAGATAGCATCGGATTGTAACTGCACTGTAAATCACTTACTCAACCAGATCTTGCTATCGCCATAACAATTGAAACCGATCCGGCAATGATGTCATCGCTATTCTGGATATCCAGAACTAGGTTTTCACCTGAAAGTCAACCTCGAGGCACAAATAGATCGCACATATTGGTCGGACGCTACCGTGGGCCCTAGAAATGGTTGTCTCGTAGCAGGATCCATGCGATCATTGGAGAGAGTTTGTGGTGGTGGGTTGGAAGGTCGAGGGAGGCACTCACTGGGGCCATCATTGCCACTGCAAGGCGATGCGCATATATAGAGGGTGGATGTGAGAGGCGTAGTCACCTGTGATGCTGCACTTTGGCGTTGTCTGGAACGTCGTCGCCCATGGGCCGCTGCCTCCATGCTAGCGCAAAGATCTGATTGCGTCCGCTGCCGCCTCCACAAACAGGACAATGGGAGAGTGTCGTCGCCCATACCACCTTTTTTGCTCCAACAGGCCTCGATAGCGGCACCTCCTGCTGTCTAGCCACAGCTCATTGCACTGTCGCTTCGACTGCCTGATGTCTCGGACCTGTTGGACGATCACCATGGGAGTGAATTCATCACCGCCTCTCCATTTCCCCACCACGCGCCTGACTAACTGATTGTTCGAGCCTAGCATGGTATTTGGATGGAATGGCTGAACGAACATTGTGTTGGGCTTGCTAGTTGTGTATGGGGTGGGTAAGTTATGTCTGCCAGGGTACAATAGTCCTTTTGCATTTTGTAAATAGTTTTTTCCTTTTATGTTATCTCACAAATTTGAGTCCACCTTACTGCCATCCAGAACAAGGAATACTAAAGCCTAGTTTGAAAAATGTAAGGACAAAAATGCAACCTAAAGAAAACAGGAAAAAAATCATAAGTGCAACATAAATAGGAGTAAGAACACAATTGTCTTTTTTCTTTACGTTGGTTAGTTTTTTTTAACTAACTAACTTTATTATATAAAAAGATGGAGGAATTAAGGTGTTAGAATTTCCTTGAACACGAGGCATATACTAGCACCCAAATGTCTTGTTGGAAAATTATACTCCCTCCGTTTCAAAATGTTTGACACCGTTGACTTTTTAGCATATGTTTGACCGTTCGTCTTATTCAAAAAAATTTGTGAAATATGTAAAACTATATGTGTAAATGAAAGTATATTTAACAATGAATCAAATGATGTGAAAAGAATAGATAATTACTTAAGTTTTTTGAATAAGACGAATGGTCAAAGACGTACTAAAAAGTCAACGGTGTCAAACATTTTGAAACGGAGGGAGTATTTGGTATGGCTGAATATTGTACCTTTTGATTTATTTGAAGTTGCATGTTCATCTTCGTAAGAAAAAAGCAATTAATCTTTTTCCCCTGAATCACTGGAAATGCATTTCCTCTTATGTGTGTGTGTGTATGTTTTATCCACTTCACACTGTTTTGCAGGACTGAAAAGAGTAGTTGTATACATTACAAGCAACTTATTTCATACTTACGAGTAAAACGTTGAACGTTTGAATACACTACATGCTTTCTAGACCAAGAATTATTGAGTGATAGACATTACAAGTAACTTATTTCGACCTAGTAGTTATAATTTGCAGGAAAGCTACACGAGCAATAAACACTTTCAGGCAGCTTAACACAGTACAAATTTCAGGTTTTGTTTGGTCACAGCGTTCCCAAACCAGATGGAAGAAGTGTCACTTGCAGGGGATCAAGAATCACCGCATTTGCTGATGCCATCATCCCATCGGCCGTGAAATACCCGTCCTTTTCCATGTAGACGAAGTGCAAAACCTTGCTCATGAACCAGAAGAGCTTCCTGCACGGTGGAGGAACAACCCCCCCATCTCTAGTCACCAGCCTTAGGAGGTCACACCTACTACCCTGGAGAACCCTCCTCATCTCTCTCTTGGCCTCCTCCATCGATGCCTCCGGTGAGCCGCGGCCGCCGCCGCTGTGGGAAAGAGCATGCAACATGACGCTATTGACCTTCCCCATTTTGATTTCCTTCTCGTATGTCTGCATGTCATTGAGAAGGCGGCCGATAGTGTTCGCAAGGTTCATTAGGTGGATGTACTCCTTGCTCCTGAAAACCTCTTCCGAGAGCTCTGGTCCGACGAACAATGCCGCTGAGGTGATGGTGGGGCCTAGAGCAAAGGAGTCCACGGCAGCTGACATGTACTCCTCCACTGTTGTTGGCACATACTTGTCCATCCTCCATTCTGCCTCGGTCAACATGCCCCTCACTGTGAACCACCACTGCAAATAGATTATATATTATATCGTGGAAAAGTAAAACCTAGAAGCCTTAAAAGTGGAAACTCACACACATGAAGAGAGAGATTTACCGATTCGGCGATATGATCCACGACATTGCGTTTCTGCAGCGGCACGGCCTTTTCCGCAATCTGCTTGCTCGTGTTGTAAATAGCATAGAATAGAATCTCTACACACTCGGAGGAGAAGCCAATCTCACCGTGCCCGTCCCACCTGTACAACACGATATGATCACAACGGGACTAATAGATATTAGTTGTACAAAAGACATAGTGTACAGGTGTGTTGTACTTCTCTATTAATTTGACCAAGTTCTCCATTTCTTCTTTTGATCCATCACCGTCAAAGAAGTCATCGACTGTGGTCGTCAAGATGCAGTTCTGGGTCCATGCAATGCGGGCTTCGGATAATTCAGAAGGGAACATGGTTGCAGCAGCACTGAAATAGGTGATCGATGGCATTAATCTTGCAAATTTCAGCTCATCCAATCTGGTCTGTGCCACCCAACTGTCATATGCTCAATATTAGTCAATGGTATCAAAAACATCTTATCACAATGGATGAATCGGGGATAGGTATATCATATATAGATAGATTTTGCACCTATTAAGGTCTTGGAGTTCTTGTTGGTAGACAGATTGAGAGGAATGGAATTCGTCAACAGCCAAAGCTAGAATTTCGTCATGTGTAATAGCGCCACTGATCCAAGTTATAATAGGTTCACAATTTAGACAACTATAACAGTAAAGAAATAAATTGTACGGCTGTGATGTGTAACAATGATATCTACCGGTATCCTGATTTCAGCAGCTTGAAGCCCTCAATTTTTAGTTGTTCCTTGGTCTTGAATTGTTCTATGTTCCTCTTCTGCTCTAGCCTTTCCAAGGTGGCATAGACTGGGAATTTCAAGGCATACTCCACCTGCGAAAGTATGATAATGGCATTATGAGAAATAATTGCCTTCTCTTTTGCATGGCTGAGATGTTTTTTAATTATTCAAGAACATTAGTTCGCTAAGAGGTTATTTATTTAGTACTTGCCTCTAGCATTTCTGATTTGTGTGTCATTTTGGAAGATATTTTTTCCTGTAGTACTCTTGCTGACCAAGAACCAATATCTTGTAGAATCAAATCATCTTCCAAGCAACGAATTTGTGAACTTCTGTACAACTCCAGCAAAGCCTTAGTATCATTTAGATATCCATGAATTGAGTCATCAAAGCTGGATTGTTCCACAAATTGAGCCATTCCATCTGCTCAATAGTTCCGAAATGATTATTAACATTTCCAAATGAGAGTTTGTACTGCAAAACGGAAAAAAAACTAGGATATTCAAATTTAAGTGTCCTAAAGCTCCATGCAATACCTGAACTGATGTCATAACCATGCATACGTAGTAGGCGAAATGCCATCGCACATGTTCCCATGTCCAACATTAGCTCCTCCTCGTTGTGTATCCATAACCTGCGAACAGAATACAATAGAAATAAAGTAGTAGGTACAAAGGCACATCAAATTGCCATCATTAGCCCATCCTATAACTTTTTAATTAGGTCATTTTTTATGAGTTGCTGTTACCTGTATATCATGTCCAATATATCACTTATTTCACAAGAAAAATTATTAGAGATACCCATCTTTTCAAGAGTATCCACCATGCCAAGCTGTGAGTAAGCATTTTGCGGATACATCACTGGGACTGGAAAACACTCATTTCCAATTAGTATATTTGATATCTCATATATCTAGTTGACATTCTTGGTCACTTGCTTGGGCAGGGGGGTGGGGGGGGGGGAGCACACCTGGGCCATCGAGCTTGCTTACAAGTGAATCCAAGTAACAGAGGGCACTATCGTTGTGGCCATGGATTACTGTAGCAGCAGCTGCAGAAGGTGAGTTGAAAATCGATCTGTTCTTCCTTTGATATGCCATTACCTGATCCCAATCTTGTAGGCTGCCCAACCCTTCAGACACATATGCCATGAAGGCTCTTCTTGATGAAGCTGTACCATAAGCATCCCTGACCATGGAGATCGTCAAATGATAACATTGAAAATTCTAAATAAAATATAAGGACTTTTTAAGGAGCTCCAAGCATATTTGAACAGTTCATTGGTGTTTGATCCAATGGGTGATATAATCTATTACCTTGTTATAGGTAAAACCTCATAGTAAGGAAAGAAAACATCTTATTGCAAATGCCATTAACAACAAACCTAACACCTTAATAAGGGAAGTATAATAAGTAAATATACTCCAAACCTAACCCTTTAATAAGGGAAGTATGATAAGTAAATATACTCCATTCCAAAATATAAGTACTTTTGGAAGTTCGAAGTTTCTCCCGGAATACAAGGGCTTAGAACATCTCTTGCAAATTCTCAATAAGAATCTTCAGTACCAAGTCATTATTTTGTGTTTTGGGTGCTCCAACTCCAACATCCCAAATGGATGAACCAATCCCACCCCGTCCTCCCACCACCGCCCCCACAGTACCAAAAGAATACTGTTCCATGTGATTTTTTTAATATGTGGCTACTTCTAAGGGACAAATTGAACACAAGACAAAAGTTGGACAGAAAGCATTATGCCCAGGAGGATGTAGATCTATCTTGTGCTTTGTGCGTGGGGCCAAGAGAAACCTTAATGCATTTGTTTTTCATGTTTCTTTAGCAAGAGCTACTAGGATCATCTTGGAATTAGGTGGAATACTAATTTGGGAATCTGTCAAATGCTAGTAGCAAGGCTATAGTTTAGAAGAAAGGGTTTTCTTGAGAACATATCTTTTGCTTGTTGGCCTATTTGGAAACAAACAAATCGAAAGGTTTACGACAACGTCTTGCCTGATTAAGAGTTGGTTTGATGTTTTTAGGAATGAGATTTTTCTACATGTTTGTACGTTAAATGATATTCTAACCTCTATTGTTCTTAACTGGTTACAAGTTTTGTAATTCTTGGCTAGTAGTATTTTACTAAAAAAATATTATTTGGAGAAAGACATAAAATAACGCTAGTTCCATGCGATTTTTTTTTAAAAACAAAATATAGTTAACATACTGAGATGCAACATTTTTTGTTGTGTTATAGGCCTAATTTACGTATATCCTAGTTAGGAATTGTAGAAAATGAAAGATGTGTGAAAGTAGGGGTGGCAACGGGGCAAGGCGGGGGGTGAGTTGGACAGAAACGTCCCCGCCCCCGCTTTCCTACGGGTTTCCTTGGCCCGGGCCCCAGAAGAATGAACGGGGCGAAATCAATCCCTACTCTCGGCCCCTCTAGGGCCTCGCAACCTGACAGGCCCCCATATGGAATCAAATCACCCTTCAAACAACACAACACAATTTACAATAATAGCACTTCAAAGTGGAGATAAACAACACAGATTTTTAAATTAGGGGAAAACCCAGATCTGATTACAACAGAATCTAGAAAACCCAATCTCACACTAAAATCAATATAGCAGCAAAACATTTTCTGTAGCATCATACTAGAAGTGCCACATCAAGAGCCTTGAGTCCTTGCAAAGGTGACTAGGGGCTAGACGGTGGCTGGAGGTGTGGTGTCAAGGAAACTCGGCAACAATGTGGCCATGTGCCGAAGTGAAGAGTCAGTGGCCGACAAGAAAGCACGACAGCGTGGCAACACGGTGAAGAGTCGACGACCGACGAGAAGGCACAGAGACGCAGAGAAGAGGAGGTGAGGAGCCGCGGTGAAGAGTCAAAGCTGGTGTGGAGTGGATCCGGCACAGAGGAGCAGCCGCCTCCGGCCTTTTGCTGTGACTGCATTGGGGCAATCGCGCGTCGTGATGGGCGGCCTGGGGCTGGCAGCAGGGTGAGGAAGAGAGTGAGGGGAGAGGATCTAGCGTCGAGGAGCAGCTGTCGCCTTGTGGTGGATTGCTTGGGGCTGGTGGCTGGGAGGGAGAGTGTGAGGGGATTTTAGCTTATATATGGAGAAGTTGGAATGGATCAACTGGGCTTACACACTTCAAATGGGCTGTTTTAGAGGAGTAGCGCACACCCGGGACCCTCGTCGGGTCACCTGATGGTTGCTTTCAATCACCGCCCCGCACCCGAAAATATGTAGGGCCCCGGTCCTGCTCACCAGCGGGTGAGAATTCTCACCTGTGGCAGGTCCTCGGTTCTAACGGAGAAATTTCCACACCCTAAGTGAAAGGTATCACCGGGGGTGGACTAATGGCATATATACATATATATATATATATATATATATATATATATATATATATATATATATATATATATATATATGTATGTATGTATGTATGTATGTATGTATGTATGTATGTATGTATGTATGTATGTATGTCCAAACATAACAAAGTTTTAATTTTAAAAATTGATTAGGAGGGAAGGATTAATAGTTGTCCTATCGTCTGTAAATAAGTACGTTTGTTTTCCTGTAAGTACGTACATACATTTTATTTATTTTCTTAATAGGTGTGCTGTTGGTACCTACGCACTGTTTTTCCTCGCCGGCATTTAGGAGGGACAAATTTGTTAGATAGATCTAGGCCTTATTTGGGAGAGTTTAAAATTCTGAGAAGCCGTTGGTGAGAATCTGGAGAAGTTGACAAATCCAACTTCTAGCTTCTTAATTCATTTTATGGATTGTAACTACAGCTGTTTAGAATCTAGGTTAAAATCTAGACTTTGGGGGGGAACTTATGGTACCAAGAGATTCTAGGAAAAGTTGCAGCTGCCAGAAGCTCACTTAAACAAACACCTAATATGATGGTAAAAAGTAATGGGCACATCAATAATTTAATAATGTAAATGTAAACCAACAGTCCATTGTTTTGTTTCTCCTTAAATTTTTTAAGAATTTTTCGTAATTTATTAGAGTGCCACATGACGGTTTAGTAGCATTTGTTGAAGTGCAATGTAAGGATTAAGAGCGTTTCTAGAAAGTTTAATAAAATTTTAGTATATAATAGATAGATGACTATTAGTTTATAGGGAGAATACAACAAAAAGCACTTGCGAGCTACTTTTCTGTTTCATATTATAAGTCGCTTTTGACTTTATTTTGTTATCGAGTTTATGAAAAAAATTAGCATAATCTAAAACACCTAATTAGTTTCATTACAACTAACTTTTAATATATTTTGATAATATGTTTGTTTTGTGAAAAAAATGTTGCTATATTTTTCTATACACTTGGTTAAAACTTAAAAGAAATTTGGCTAGAAAAAAAGTCAAAATAACTTATAATATGAATCAGAGGGAGTATTTTAAATGCATGAGAATTTTGCCTCATTTGTATTAAGGATAGAAGATTGATCTATATGCACCAGACTCTAGTGTACCAAATTAGTTCATAAGCTAATGAGAAAGGGTTGGAAAGTTTCTTCTACATAAACAAGCCCTACATGTCTGGCTGTGTCACCACCAATATTAGTTGTCACGTAAATACAAAGCTAAAAGTAACAAATAAATACAAATATTCACACTTGGATTTTGAAATCGACTAACCTTTCCAATTCAATCTTCCGCATGTGAAAAATCCCATCAATATCTGTTTGCATAACAGGGAATTCCAAACCCGTTCCAGTGGCAAGGTTAAGCAAGCCAGAAAAGGTAATGTTAAAACCCACAGGAGCAATAGTTTGCTCATCCATGGCAACCCAGAAATTTTTTCCAATAAAATTCAGTCCTGCCAAAACCATTTTTCGTAGCTATATAAGAATGTTTCACCCTACATTATAAATATCTAGACAATATATTAAAAACAACAACAACATAAATGCAATTATTGATTTGTACCTCTGCTGATGTGATCTCGTCCAGTATTCCATCTTTTCAGTGCAACAACACATGCCAATGTACACAAAAGAATGTCTTTGTTGACAACCGAACCTGGCAGGTTTGTGCCCCAAGATCCATCATCATGTTGGTTTTGCAGTATCCACTCGATACATTGCGGGAAGCGTGGAGTTTGATGAGAGCCCTGCACTGGCACCATGGCTACCCATGCCGTGTCGTATGAAGATGGTGATAATTGAACTTCCCGAAGTTGCTTCCTTATCTTATCCTGCAGTTGGTTCTTCTGCTGCATATCCCATCAGAATAATAAACTCAACCATCGATATGTTTCACAATTCAATGCACGAGGTTTAGTTACAATACTCAGCTGCTGTTCGATCTAGCCTAATCTGTTGATGATCACAACTAATCGAGTCTGGTTTTTTAGAAGCTTTAATGCGATGAAGTCATTGGTGGCATTTTTCCTTCTTCTTTTTTTGCCACCACTGAGCTTCTTTGGTCATGGATGGGTACATAGAGTTCTGAAGTGAGATTGTTTTGCTGTTTTCTGGGTGAAAACATTGTAGATCTAGTTTAGCTTGATCAACAATATCGATGTACGTTTATTGATCTAATCCCTTATGAAAGGTGTTGTCTTGAAATTGTTGTGGTGAAAACCTAACTTTTTGATAGGACAATATGGTAAACATATATATATGATATTTTCTTTAGGAAGGTACTATCGCAGTCTCTTGGAGAGTGCCTCGTTTGCATAGATGGCCTTCATGTATTCTCTTTTCATCTTTCAGATTGCATTTTCATATTTTGTCATGTTGTTGTGGTTTTTCTACTGATTTTGGCAGTGCGCATCTCTGGCTAGTCACTAGTTAGTACGGAGGTCGATAGTTTCTTTTAATGAATTACTCCATTATGTATTAAAAAATGGACCATTAATTACTCCATTATATATTAAAAACTGAACCATGTATATATTTGTCCTACCATGCCTTGTTGGCTTCCCGCATTCCTCCCTAATCCCAGGCTCTTCTCAACACCTGCAGCTCCTGGGGAAAGCGAAGAATATGCGTGAGATACCTCTTTGCACTTGTAAGGATTGTGATAGACAATAAAATTTATCTGTCTAGTAACAACCTCAACAACTGTACTCTCAAATACTCCCATCAGTTTCATATTATAAGTCATTTGACTTTTTTCTTAGTTAGATTTCTTTGAGTTTGTCCAAATTTATAGAAAAATATAATAGTATTTTCAACACAAAACAAACATATTATCATAATGTATTCAATGTTAGAACATAATATTTTAGACGTTGCTAATTTTTTTATAAACTTGATCAAACTTAACAAAGTTTGATTAGAAAAAAAAATCAAGCGACTTATAATATGAAATAGAGAGGGAGTAGCAAAGAGGTATATATATATGTGTGTACTCAATTCAAATGATTATGATTTTTTTTAAATGGTTAGGTATTAATATTAACTACTTTACTGACTAGTTCAAAACAAGTTTTAACTGAATTTAAACATGTTTTTATTAGAATTCGATTCTAGGTATATAGCATCCAAACATATAATTAGTTAGGTATGTAATATTGGATTGTGAAATAAAGTTAAATTTGAGTTGTTTTGTTGATAGGTATAGGTATGAATCGAATACTTATAACTAGGTATATACTCACAATTTGAAATTTTTGAAAAATTTGAGCGGATTTGTGTATTTCATACCATGGTGTCCCATATGAGTGTCCTATATATATGTGTATGTATACACATATACATATGCATACATACATATATATACAATAAATCATATGAGATATTTTGTAGCGCTTGGGAGGTACCTCATACCTCTTATGCTCACACGAAGAGGAGGTGCTCTGTTGAACTGCTCTATCATCCCACGGGGTGAAGCTCTGAGGAATTGTCCTAAGCATGCTGAACTCATAGGAAGTATCATCCACAACTACCCTATAACGATACTACACAATATGATTCTATGTTACATGCAACATGGGTTTATGCTGAAAAAGTAATAATAATATAAGCGAAGTCATCTAGATCTAGTTTATGATTCAGCTATCTATATCACTCCCTTTCATCGTAGGTCCAGTTCACCACCTCAACTATTACAAAAAGTACAATAATTAACCTCTTCAATTATGAAAGAAAAAAAATACACCACTCATATATTTAATCCGGACTCTTAAATCCCTCGTACCCTATTTTAGGTGGTTTAGGGCTAAGCTATCTTGATACATAACCAAATCTTGCAAAGTAAACTTTATGCAGTCTCTCGTTTCTTACCTGTGCCATTTCTAAGCCTGTGGGATAGACGGTGGGTTGTTCTACTAATATGAAATATTAACTGTGTACTTGTGTTATACTCCATCCGTCCCATAGTATAGCAACTTAGGGTGGGAGGGAGTACTATCTTCCAAGTCAAGTTAAACGATTTGATTATTGCTAGCTAGCATTCAGCACGTGCGTACGTACAGTACGCCCTTGAGGACTTGGGTTTGAGAAATTATGCATTCTGAATTTATGACTGGCTGCACTGCCACTCACATGTACACCACGAGAAGAAGAAAAATATAAAAAAAGAACTAGGAAGAGAGAGAGAAAAAAAGTTTCATGCAAATCGGGAGAACGTGTCAGATATTAATTGAAATATGCAGAAGTTTGAATCCGTTTGTTTTTTCTACGGAAATATGTATCAGTTGTTTGATGTCATATTGTTTTTGTGCAATGAGAGATCTGTGCAAACAAATAGAATAAAGCATAAGGAACAAGTAATATACTCTATTCCACAAAAGTTATGTACGTACGTATTACTTTCGTCACCAAAATTAAGTAGAAGTTAACTCATATTGTATCTAACAAAAATCAAGAAGTATATACACGCATGCAACAATGAGTATTAATATGACTACTCGGATTCTGATCAAACATTTAATTTTACCTCTCTATTTAAATTTTAGATGAATAAAGACTACCAATAGAAACAACTTATTTAGAAAAAAAAAATAAAATATGAAATAGTTTACTCTTGTGGATGGAGAGAGTAAGCCTTAACAGCACAGGTTTTGACACTACGTCAAACGAGGTTATTTTCTGTATCAGAACACAAACGGTGGTGTACGAAGCAAAGTGTAGAGCACTGAAAGGACACGGATGTTTAAAAGGGGCAGTCTGTTTAGATTCATCGGAGAAAGAAACCCACCTTACAGAAACGAGAGAGGCAGGACGCAGGAGAAGCAAAACCTGGCAGAACAGGGTAGGCTAGCTAGGCCGCAGCTCGATCTCTGAACGAGAGAGACCAAGGGGGCAGGAGGAACTAGCTAGCAGCTTATCGTTGATCAGCTATCGGCCGTGCCTGCATGAAAGAGGGCAACACGCATGGAATTAGCTAGTCTGTTCACCTTGCTTATATATATATTGCTCCCCGGTGACATCATCAGTACAGGGAAGCAACCACTATTTGTATTATGGCATCCCATCATGATTAGGTAACACGTACGGGACCCTACTTTTGACAAGTTGTTAATCTGCTGAGATGGTGCTTTTGCTATCATATAACAAAACAAAGACTACAAGTCCAAAATCGACGCAAAAATACCAGTAAATTACACTGGCAGTACATAAGTCCTAAAATTTTGAAATTACACCCAAAATTTTGTTAAATGTATCATTGTACGTATATCCAAAAGTTTATACAACCCTTCAACTGCTGATGTCCCCCACGACTCTTCAGAGTTCCAGTAAATCAGGCATATATGCTTACGATTTCTATTGTGGTTTTGCCCTGAGCCCTTTGATTTCTAGAAAGATTAATTTGCGCAAATAACAGTTCCCCATCTCATTGTGCTCAAAAATTACATGAAAGTTCCTTTTATAAAAACATGGGTCACTCAAAGTTCCAGTTGTGTATATAAACGTGCGTACAGGGTAGGCGGAAAATATATCCGTTCGATCGGTCTTGTATATTACACTCTCCATCCTAAAATGTAAGCATTTTTAAGTATAGTATCAAGTCAAACTTGTTTAACTTTGATTATTAATAGAAAAAAATAAAAAAGATCAATCGTATAAAATTGATGTTACTATATTTATCATTAAACAAAGGGATAAGTCCATTTTACACCCCTTAACTCTTCGCTTTGTGCAACATACACCCTCGAACTTTAAAACCGGGTATTTAACACCCCTAAACTTTCAATACCGTTTATTTTAACCCCCCCTCCCTCAAGCGGTTTTTGGCTAGTTTTCGCCTACGTGGCGCTGATGTGGCAGTCCAGTCAGCAAAAATAAAAATAAAAATAAAAATAGGGCCACATGTCAGAGGCAAGCTACCTATTCTTCTTCCTCCCTTCTCTGCCATTTCTCTCCTTCCTCTTTCTTGCTCTATCCCTCTTCCTCCCAGACCAGGAGGGCAACGATGGTGGTATCCCTGAGCTCAAGGGCTAGTTTCAGCGAGGGAGCTAGCTCCTCCTTGACCCCAAAAGTTCCCATGCATCATGTGGCTTCAACATCACCTCTTTGTCAACCGCTGATGCCTTGTGCTCTTCTCCTCCCCGAGAGCTACTGCCACTGCCTGACAAGTGATTGAAGGGGAGAGAACAAAAGAGAAGTGGTGGGAGTGAGGAGCTCTGCATCGACCACCTAGGAGAGATGAGACTAACTGGATCCCCTTCGCTACCGCCCAGAGCCCCAGATCTGACCGATTTTTTTTTTTTTGACAGGGATCTGACCGAATCTTGAGTGAAGCTCGACACATCCACCACCTAGGAGAGATGCGGAGCTCGGCGCTGAGCCGCCGACACCACCATCGACTGCCTTGCTCCTCCTTCTCAGACTCCTATCTTCGTAAGCACACCCTTCTCCGAGCAGCCGGTGGCCACCACCATGCCCCTCCCTTGGCGATGTCGGAGAAGATGGGGTCCCTAGGGCGGCCTCGAGCTCACGATGAGCTCCACCGTCGTGCCATCCCCTCTCTTGCCTCTTCCTCCTCTCTCCAATTGCTCTCTCATCGCCAGTGGCTGCCTGTAGGCGCGATTCCGTCGGCGGCGGCTGGGAGAGATGGAGGAGGAAGATAAAGCCAAGCTGGCCTACGGGTCCCACATTTTTTTTCTAGCTGAATTTCCACGTAAGTGCCATGTGTGCAAAAACCACCATGGTTTCTGATAGGGGTGTAAGTTAGACGGTTTGCAGAGTTAAGGGGTGTTAGATACCCGGTTTTAGAGTTTGAGGTGAGTTTTAAACAAAGGCAATAGTTGAGGGGCGTAAAATGGACTTATCCCTTAAACAAACTATCATAATACACAACTCTTTTTATTTAAACCATATTATATTTATTAATATTGTTGGTTAAAATAGCATCTCGAAAACTGTGTTAAAGTTTAAAAATAGTTATATTTTAAGACGGAGAGAGTAGCATTTTCATCATGTCCTTGTGTTCGTACCTTATCTATTTCGTTCAGATTTGACCTGCCGCATGCAGGCGCGGTCAAACATGCACACAAAGTACAGTTGATTACTTGCTGTCATATAAACGAAAAGGATTTACATGTGATCTGTGTATCAGTGTAGAATTTTTTTCATTTTTAAATTTTTTTCTTTTAATATTTATAGAAATAATCCATGGGCGCAAAAAATTACAAAAATAGACCCTGCCGCCCTCCACTAGGGCAGCAAGCTGACGTGGCAAACGGGGAGGGACGGGCGGTGACGGCAGACGGAAGAGGGAGGGTTTTTTTTTTGCACGAAAAGGCCTCCATGCAAAAAAGCCAGCCCGGGCTTAGTACTTTTTGGCTGGTATAGGGCGGCAAGGGACCCAGATGCAAAAAGTACGAGCCAAATGCTGCGAAAATTGCATGAGGGCGGCAAGGGGCTAAATGCAATTTTCGCAGACGGCCGCAGACGGCGCCGTCGAGCCGCCGTCTGCCACGTCAGCTTGCCGCCCACCACTAGGGCGGCAGGGTCTATTTTTGTAATTTTTTGCGCCGATAGATTATTTCTGTAAATATTAAAAGAAAAAAAATTAAAAATGAAAAAAAATCTATCAGTGTATGGATGTAACTTGAACGGAACCTGTACATCCAACGCGGTAGGAGTACGTTTCCGTGGCTGACGGAGCAGACGATCGAGGGCGGCAACCAGGCGCAGGTGGCGGTAGAGGAAGGAGGACGATGCTCATGAGTCTAAGTCCATACGCTATTACTCCCTCCGTATTTCTAATGTATAACGCCGTTGACTTTTTAATAAATATTTAATCTTTCATCTTATTTAAAAAAATTTATGTAATTATAATTTATTTTATTGTGACTTGATTTATCATCAAATATTCTTTAAGCATGACATAAGTATATTTATATTTGCATAAAATTTTTTAATAAGACGAGTGGTCAGATGTTGGTTAAAAAGTCAACAGTGTCATACTTTTTAAAATATGGAGGGAGTACGATGGAGACTTTTTTTTCCGGTCCTGCAGGGGCAGGTACCAAATTAATCCCGATCGTTCATTGGTGTAGATCAGATGGCTCAGAATTGGTAGTACTAGACAGTACTTCCTCCGTTCCATAATATAAGTCACAACTACTTTTTTTAAATGATCCATAATATAAGGCATGCATGTATGCATATAATTAATTATGACCTCTTCTCCATTAAATTATGACTTTTTTAAATCCTCCACCATCAAGATCTCTAATTCTATTGGATGCATGTATTATATTTATTAGGATAATTCAAACTAGGAGATGACGGAGGGTGGGTTTTTTGCATTAAAACCCTTGCCGCCCTCTGGGGCGGCAAGGGGTCCGAATGCAAAAGAGCCGCAGGGGGCCGGCCATTTTGCAGGCGGCCCCTTGCCGCCCTCTGGCCGGGCGGCAGGCCTCGCTGCCTATAAAAGGCCTACCGCCCAGCCCCCAGCCCTCATTCCTCACCTCTCAAATCCAGTAAAAAAAAAAGAAGAGAGGGGAGGAGAAGAGAAGAAGGGGCGAAGCCCTGCGGATTCAGACACCGATTTCAGGTAATATTCGTAGATCCTATATGTGACTATTGAGTTAAATAGTGTGTATTTTTAAAAAATTTGTTTGAATAAATGCATTATATTTTTATGGTTTTAGTTGTACTAATTTAGAAGTACGTATTGTAGATATCGGTAACAACGTAGATCTGTTAGTTTGGAATCAATACTTTACCGTTGCATTGGCTTACACAAGAAGATATTACGTTGTAGATGTTTATTGCATGAAAGAGTAATATGATCTAGTTAATTCGTTGACAGATATGTCGAACAAACCAATATTCCAAGTTTACCATGGACCAGGAAACGTCCGTTACGGGCCAACTGGGGTAGATCTGTCAGATTTTATTGTACCAGAAAGGGGAATTGAGAGACCGGCTGAGAGAAGTGTACCTTCTATAAAAGGATGGTTAATGAAGGGCTTGAGAGTTGATCCACAGACAAGTGACATAACAATCAATGTTATAGTAAGTCGGGCAACTGAGAGTTTTTATTGGGAACTAATGCCAGTTCAAAACTCTCAAGTGTGGAGATGGTATGTGGAAAATGCAATGCAACGTGGGTGGCCTCTAGCTTTGGTTCCGTTTGTGCAACCGAAGGATCCAGGTGTGCAGATAAACATGGATGATGGCGAGGGACCAAGCGTTGAAATAAATGAGACTTCTGTGGAGGAGGTCAACGCAGGAGTGGACGGCGGCGTAGTAGCTCCAGTGGGCATTCAACCAGGTGGAGTGGCCGACGAGGGGGAGACTGTCGCAGCCATTGTGGATGAAATGGAGAGAGAGGATTCTGACAACGAGCGTGTGGAGGAAGGTGATTCGTCAGATGAGGAGACGGATATTAATCCAGCAGAATGGGCTAGTCAGGATTTTTCTGGGCTGATCGTCTCTGAAGAGGATAGTGTGAGATGGGAGTACAAAGAAAATGAGGTTATTCAGGGAGCGATTTATAGTAGAACAGAAGATATGAAGGAGGCGGTAAAACATTTTGCAGTGTCACTTCATAGAGAGTTTTGGGTTGCCAAGTCCAACCGGTCGCAATATGAAGTTCGGTGTGTTAAGGAAAAAGATGGTTGTCCCTGGAGAGTGCACGCGTATAAGGGGAAATGGAAGGATTATTGGACAGTGTCAGTCGTTACCAAGCATACATGTTTTCTACCTGGTGTTCAGAAATACCACAGGAACATTAC